GAACGCAACCCTATTACCTCAAAAGTTAATTACAAAAACTGTATGAAGGTCAAAATCAACAGAAACTAGGAAAAGGTTATGGATGACTCTTAGAACCTATAAGTCAAACAAGCAGGGAAGCGAACAACTTGAAAAGTCAAAATTACTCGATTAAAGAAGTCAACAACGAAATGAAATTTAGAATACTAAGCTCGACACCCTTACATGGACTATGAATCCATTTGAATATAGTTCAGAATACTAAATTTAGAATACTCGAGAGTGACCTTCACTAAGATTTTTCATGTCAAGAATATTGTACTTAATACCATGAAGATTTCAAGAAAACCATGAAATCAAATGGTCAAAACAAGTAATGACATACAATAATTCATGCAGAAGTGAATGTGAGTACGCTCATGAGGGACAGAAAGTGACGGATAATATACTTTGCCAAGAATACAGCACATAATTAAATTACTAATAAAACCATCTTTATGCTCTTTTCTTGATGAAATATATCATCAGAAACGCCAAATACCCTGGTTATAGAAAAAGAATATATTATCATAATGCACCTCTCATTACCCTTTTGTCATGACCTGTATATGATCAACACCATAGATCCTGACAACCCTTTTATTAACACACACAAATGATTCACCAATTGTTCAATAGATGAACACAATTTCAGAAGATCCAGATTCATCTGAACCCAATTAGTGAACCAGCATATCATCAAACACCTGTTCTACACAACAAAAGTTATTTTTTCTAACCTCTTCTGTCTTCTTTGAACATATGTTGTTATATCAATGCGTCTTCTTGAGGGCTTGACGTCACTATTTTCTTCATCTTCAAACATCTATCAACACCGGACTTGACGCGGCATTCTTGAAATTAGAAAACGAAAGTTTTCAGCGAACTGATTGACTCAATCACATAAAATTAGCATTTAATGAAATTTTTTCCAAAACAAAGAATCAAATGTTCTTTTACCTCGATTTCTTGCATTAATGAAACCTTTTTGATGGCCGTCTCCATGTTGTAGTTGCGTTCTCCAAATGGATCGATATCTTCAACCGATTTGGGAGATAATCATTCCGTGATTATCGGAATGAGTAATTAACCGCATTTCACAATACTGCATCTTCAATACCGAACCATTTCACAATTTCGTCTTCCAATTTTACCCCTTTGGGTTAGGTTCCATGAGATTAAATTACGCTTATACCCTTTAACTCTCATCTTCACACACTCCGTCGTCTATGAGAATCAAATAACCCTTCGGTTTTTTTTTTCCGTTATGATTTTGTGAACTCTTTCCTTTTTATGTTGTTTTCACCATTTATGTGATTTGAGTTCACAAAATGGTCCTTACCATTTTGGGCCTTTTGGTGCTTTGTTATTGGGCCAACTTATCTCATTAAAATCATTTTTTAAACTAATATAATTACAAGCCATTAAAACTTTTTAATTCTTTTGTTTTGATTTGATTATTTATACTAGAAGGATACTCACACAATTCACCGAGGTACATCTCGATTTTAATGTTTTATTTTATTTTATTTTTGTCTCGGTCGATGTTATAAAAAATTGAAAAAGAATATTGATATTAGTATCAAAATGATTTTAAATTTTCTTTTTTTTTGTGTATTTCTTTAATTCATTTTTTTTATTTAATAATATAGTTTTTTATAAAGATAATAATTAAGTATTTTGTTAGAACTCAATGATTATTCTAATTATATTTTATATTTAAAATGAGATGTTTATCCTTTATTTGATTGTGTTTATCTGTAGTTAGTTACACAAATTCAAACATTAAGCTTTAATAAGTTGTACTTACTTACAATATACTTGCAATCTTGAGTTTTAAGTAATTTATACTATATTATAAATCATTTGACAAAAACTTTTAAAAACCACTTTTTATTCGTAAAAACTGTTTATTAATGCATATTACTTAAAACTCAAGATTACAAGTAGATTGCGTATAAGTACAACTTATTAAAGCTCCATATCTGAATTCGTGTAACTAACTACAGATAAACATAATCAAATACAGGATAAACATCTCATTTCAAAAATAAAAATCTAAAATATAATTAGGATAATTATTGAGTTCTAACAAAATACTTAATTATTATCTTTATAAAAAACTATATTATTACACCAAAAATAAATTATTTCGTTAATAACTTAAATTAAATTATAATAAAAATAAATTAAAGAAATTACATAAAAAATGAGAACTTTTAAATAATTGATTTGATATTAGCATTGATATTTTTCGTTCAAATTTATATTTTATTCAAAAAGAAAATTATTATTGCTTTCTTAAAAACACATAAAATCGTATTATAACATCAACATAGACAAATAACAAAATAGACCATTAAAATCGAGATGTGTCTTGCTGCATTGCGTGAGTACTCTTCTAGTATGCATTAATAAATGATACTTTACGCATAAAAAGTGGTTTTTAAGAGTTTTTGTCAAATGCTTTATAATATAATATATATTTTGATAATTTTTAAATTATTTCTTCCGAATTTTTAGTCATTTTTCTTAATTTTATTTATTAAAAATCAATTTTTTATAACTAGAAGTATACTCACACAATGCAACGAGATACATCTCAATTTTAATATTTCGTTGCATTTTGTCTCAGTCGATGTTATAATACGGTTTTATGTGGTTTTGAGAAAAATATAATGTTTTTATTTTTGAATAATATAAATATAAAAATATATTATAAAAAATTTAAAAAATATTGATATTAATACAAAACTAACTATTTAAAAATTGTCTTTTTGTGTATTTTTATTTATTTATTTATTGATTTTTAATTTAATAATATAATTTTTTATAAAGATAATAATTGTTATAATTCAATAATTATTTTAATTATAATTTGAATTTCTTATATTTAAAATTAAATGTTTATCCTCAATTTGATTATGTTTATCTGCAGTTAGTTACACAAATTTAAACATGAAGCTTTAATAAATTGTATTTATATACAATTACTTGTAATCTTAAATTTTAACTAATATGCATCCATGAATAGTATTTAATGTATACAAAACGAGTTTTAAAAGTTTTTGTTAAATACTTTATAATATTATACAACCCGAATCATTTCATCCATTATCACATAAAAAGCAATTGATATTTTGAATAATGATTAATTGATATGTAACTTTATTTAAGGATAGAATTCAGTCAAAAAAAATAGTAAACAACTCTTCCCTTGGTAAAAGGTCATTGGATAACGACCTTATATCTTTTCAATTTCAACTCATTTAAATATCATATTCAAGTGACACTGAATATTGATTTAAATTTTATATATATATATATATATATCTTTTCAATTTCAACTCATTTAAATATCATATTCAAGTGACACTGAATATTGATTTAAATTTTATATATATATATATATATATATACTAGAATGGTACTCGTGCAATGTATCGAGACACATTTCGATTTGAATGTTTCGTTTTATTTTTTGTCTTTGTTGATATAACACAATTTATTTAGTTTTGAGAAAGTTAATGTTTTTACTTTCGAATAACAATAAATTTAAAGACATCATAATTTTTCTAAAAATATATCGATATTAATATCAAATTAACTATTTAAAAGTTCTTGTTTTTATATAATTTATATTAATTCATTTTTTGTTATATTTTAATTTAGGTCAAATAGTGGAGTAATTTATTTTTGACTTAGCAAATAATTTTTTATAAAGATAATGATTCTGTTAGATTTCAATAATTATCTTAATTATATTTTAGATTTTTTATATTTTAAAATGAGATATTTATCCTCTATTTGATTATGTTTATCCGCAGTTAGCTACACGAATTCAAACATTGAGCTTTAATAAGTTGTACTTATACATAATTTACTTGTAAACTTGAATTTTAAGTAATATGCATCAATATACAATACTTCATGCATAAAAAATGGTTTTTAAGAATTTTTATCAAATGCTTTATAATATAGTATAGATATATATATATATATATATATTATATATATATATATATATATACATGTAAATATACATATGTGGACAAATGATCGTGTAAGAAAGAAAATTAAGGTAAAAAAATATAAGAATAGATATGGACCATTTATCACTTTTAATCTCAAACTCATCAATGAATCGTGTTTGACACATATATAGATTGATTCGATGCATTTCATCCTAATATACATCCAATGGTAGAGATCTTTTCTTACACTTATTACTTTAACTCTGATTTTTATCTGAAATAATGGTATGTATGTGTGATTAATGAGATGTGGGGTGATTTAGAAACAAGAGAAATAGATGCCATATTCAAATATCATGTCAACCTTATTATAATCAACCCACTAATAAATTGATGTCATTTCCTTTAAATTTTATCCAAAATTAGATGAACATCAAGATATTAGTACTACTTTATGGTTACCACCCACCAAACACTCACATTTTTACACCTGAATTTATTTAATATTTATTTATTTATGTATTAATAAATTATAAATTATTCAGTCAGTTTTCGTCTGCGTTTCAATATGATTTGTAACTGATATCATATCTAATACTGTAAGCGTTAACATTTCGAATGAGACTAAAACCTGATCGAACGTGTAAGAAACGTACGAGTATGTAAAGAGTTAATACCCAATTGACAGAAAAATTAAGAATTAATTAGCATGTCATATCGTGAAAGCAACCCTACCCCACCTGCCTGCTCAATACCTTAATTACCAGATAAGACTAAAACAAATTAAACCAGTTGTCATAATTACTCCATTTACTCGCCTCTTCATTTACTGTAATTCTATTTCATTCTTGCAGTTCTTAGACCCCGAATAGAGATCTCAGGTACGATATAACTGGTACTTACTAAACGAGACTCGTGTTTTTCTTAACTGAACACAGTTGAAATCAGTTAAACGAAAAGCATGAGTGCTTTTGGCATGAATTATGGCGTATACCAAACATTTAATTGGAGGGGATTACTGATTACGTGTGACAAAAGGGATAATTATGTGAAACAGATTATTTAACGTGCATGTGTTTGGTCACATGTTTAAGGATCATGCAATCAGTGACGATGCCCGATTCTGTTACAGAAGAGATGTGTGTAGCGAGATGGTCGGTTTGTTCTTGTCCCCTTCCAAAAATATTTAAGCAAATACAGAATTTTGTATGAGTTAATATTTTGAACGGTGATTGTGTCATTCCACTTGTGCTTTTGTGGGTCCATAGAATCAGAAATATTGAAGACGATTGGATGTCGATGTTGACTTTTTGTCGCAGGTCAACGTGATGACGTAGCTCACTATCATTAAAATAAATCAAATTGTATCTAATCTAATAGATATTTATTTTATAAATTGCATGAAAAATAACATATTTTGATGTGATTTTTATTTTGGGTAACGTGTTTTCAAAATTTCAATTTTGGTATCTATGATGTAAAGTTTTAAACATTTAAGTATCCGGATAACCGATTGAAGGCTAATTTTAGATTAGAAAAAAATCTACGTCACTAAGTTGAATATCACATCACTCGTCACATCAGCATGATAACCGGTTACTCGGGTATTTAAATGTTTAAAACTTTACATCTTAAGTATCAAAATAGAAGTTTTTATCAAAATGGAAATTTTAAAATTGCGTTAAATAAAATATGAATCAAGTTAAAGTACGTTATTTATTTATGTAATTTGCTCATATTTACTTATCAAAACATGTGAAATAAAAGTTATCGTAAGAAAGATAAAAAGGGATCCCCACACTTGAATCAATCTTAACTAGTTTTGTACCCGCGCAATGCAACGGAAGTCATGAATTTTAACGATTTTGAAGTTTCACTGGTTTTATTAGAGAAGATTTAATGATGATATAAGTTACATTTTGTTTTTACATATTAATACAATTTGAACAAATAAGAGTTATGGTTCCAATTACAGTATATTGATGAAAAATATTGTATGACAGTTTAAAATCCAATATATTTAAAATCCAACATATTTAAACGACTCCACAAATGTGTTTGGTTTACACCAAGAGCAAAGAATCAAGATATCGAGAGCGAGACTGAGAGTTCTAGAGCAATTGAATGGGAGAACTTCTAGTAACTCATGGTAAATATCAGTTTGAATCTCACCTTCGGGGATGGGGATAATACATAGAGATATGAGAGAGTGAAGGCATGAATGAAAAGTGTCAAAAGTATATTGGAAACATGAAAATAAAAAGTAATAATGTGCATTGATAACTTTTAATATATGTTATTTTAGTTGTAGATTAAGTGATTAAAAGACTGAATGCATAAAGTAATAGTACTTAATGCATTATGAGTTATTTTTAAGACTTTTAAGACTGTACATAAATATACAGTACTTTGTACATTAAAAATTGTTTTTAAGACATTTGATAGATATGGTTTATAAGGTAGTATAAAATAAAAGGAATCACTAGCTCAACACTATTGAGATACATTAGATCAATTTTCTTTTGAAATAAAAGTGATCAAGAGTCGAAATATTTTATTACATTTAATACATTAACGCTTGTTCTCACATAATACTTCGGGGTTGTTTGTTTACTTCTTAATAGTTCCATTAAGAGACAACCTCTGAATTGTTAAGAGGTGAATCTTGTTTGGTAAAAAAATAGTTTGTTTTTTAATGGTCCTAAAAACTTCTGAATGATTTTGTATCATGAGCCTTACTTAATTATTAAGAGCCTTAATTTTATTGTAAACAATTACCAAATAATTATATTTTATTTTGTACAATATCACGAGAGCTTCTTAATCATTATCACCAGTTAATCATTCTGTACCAAATCATTCAGCAACTATCAAACCGCCTCTTCGTGTAACCATTATATTAATACATAAATAATCGATAAAAGCATTTATGATGTTTGAAAACAGAGTTTATAGGAGATTCAAGTTGTTGTAAATGGTCAAATTTTGACACATATTTTGATCGGGTTGAAGTACGTATGATATCAGCGGGACCCACTTGGAATTGCAGCGGACAAAACACCATTGGTCCATCGCCAGCACCGATCGGGACCCACTTCTTCCCCCATGAAGATTCCGGCGACGACCACCACATTCTCCATCTTGGACGATTACACCCCCACCTGTTTTAAAATTACCATTTCACCCTTCAAAAACATGACGTGGCGTCAGATTACTGCTGGAAAATCCTAGTACTAAAACCAACGGTGTATGACCGTTGATTCTGTACGGTGCACCCTATATAAATACCATGGTCCTATACACATATAAAAGATCACCTATACATCCTCTGATCACCTTCTCTCTCTCTCTAACATGCTCATAATCTTCTCCGATCACAACCAACATCAAGATTCACCCGAAAAGTTGAAGTAATTCAGTCGATATATACAATTATGGAGAGTACAGATTCGTCCACGGGATCTCAATTACCGCAGCTCCCACCAGGGTTCCGATTCCATCCCACCGACGAAGAGTTGGTGGTTCACTACCTCAAGAAAAGAGTCGCCTCTGCTCCTCTTCCAGTTGCCATCATCGCCGAAGTTGATCTCTACAAGTTTGATCCATGGGAGCTCCCAGGTAAGATATATATGTATATATGTGAATCTCTGAATTGATCTTTTTCCATCTCTGTTTTGGGTTTTGATTGTGTTATGTTATAGGTAAGGCGACGTTTGGGGAGCAAGAATGGTATTTTTTTAGCCCGAGGGATCGGAAGTACCCAAACGGAGCTCGGCCGAACAGGGCGGCGAATTCTGGGTACTGGAAAGCTACGGGAACCGATAAGCCGGTGATGACGTCTGGTGGAACACAGAAAGTTGGTGTGAAGAAAGCTTTGGTTTTCTATGGAGGGAAGCCACCAAAAGGGGTTAAAACCAACTGGATCATGCATGAATATCGACTTGCTGATAACAAAACAATCTCCAAACCCCATGGCTGCGATCCCACCAAACAAAAAGGATCCTTAAGAGTAATAATTACTAATAATTCGTCACGTATTTTCAAAGGATATGTAGTTTTTGATCATGAATTTAACTGGGTACTTGTTTGATTCGATTTGCAGTTAGACGACTGGGTTTTATGTCGAATCTACAAAAAGAACAATATGCAGAGACCGATGGATAGCGATGGTGGCGATCATCAACACAACATTACCGGGATGCTAGCGTCTATACCGCCGTCGATCTCTCTTGCCGGCACCGGCCACCACGGAACTATTATCCGGCCGACAGCAGGTCATGTAGGGTATAACACAATGCTGGAGAATCATGAACATAACCTCATGTTTGATACTAGAATAAACTCGAACGACACCGATATCAACACCAACGTTAACACCTCTAATCTTCTTCCGGTGAAACGATCCTTGCCGGCACTTTTCTGGAACGAAGACGGCGGCACCAGCGGCGGCAACACAGGTAATAACTCATCATCTACATACACAAAAAGGTTTCTCACAGAAAGTAATAGTGATGTTAGTGTTATGGCGGCCACAAGAACCACAGAGGAAAACAGTGGTTCCATAGCCAGTTTACTTAGTCAGCAGGCAATGTTGGGGTCTCTTGAAGATGGTGTTTTCCGGCAACCGTATCAGTTGCCGGCGGGAATGAATTGGTACTCGTAGGTCAGTTTTTGGAAAGCGGGTATGATTCAAAAAGGAAAAAAAAAACGATAAAAAAGTGAGAATGAATTGCCCACATCTTCTTTTCCCTGAGCCACTACAAAACCCTAAAAGGTAAGAATGATCTTTAAACTTTTATGCAGCTGTTTAGTCTTGTACAACATGCATATGTACTTACTAATCTGTGTAATATATATATCTGTAGAAATAGTTTATATATGTATATATATATACATATGTATGTATGTATATATATAATAATGATAATATATAGGTCACATGGGTGCCTTCCATTCCAAAACTATCTATCACTAGCTATATACAATGAACGTTTGTTGCTTAGTCAATTAATTTCATTGCTAAAATTGAATTGAATTTATTATTTGAATCATTCAAAATTAAGACTTTTTCTTTGTAAATCCTCATTAATTATTTCCTGTTTAACTTACACGATAATTTCCATGAAATGTGGCATAGTTTGTTTACCTCTTAATAGTTTCATTAAGAGGCAACATATGAATTGTTAGGAGGTTAATCTTGTTTGGCAAAAAAAAAAGTTTGTCTTGTTAATGGTTCTAAAATCCTCTGAATGATTTTGTATCATGGATTCCCCTTAATCATTAAGAGCCCTACTTTATTATACACAATTACCAAACAATTATATTTCATTTTGCATTATATAATGAGAGTCTCTTAAACATTCTGACGATTTAATCATTTTACACCAAATCATTCAGCAATTGCCAAACAGTCTGGGCTCTTAGCAGGTCAAGGATTCAAAACTCACCAAAGGTGAGGAAAATGCGTGAGTTTATTTGCGGTATATAAATAATATATACTTAAAAAAAAACTGTGATGAGCGTCAAGAAAATTTTACAACACCAACGATTAAAAACATAAGTTTTCGAATTTTGACGATAAAAAATATTGTGTTGAAATAAAAATATTTGAAGTCGTTATACACCTGCGCGCGCGCGCACACACACACACACACACATATATATATATATATATATATATATATTGAGTTGATAGTTCGTTACTTTGGGTTGCTTAATTCTTAATAGTATATGCATTAAGATCAATGATTAAGGTTCTTTGAGTATACAAAATATGTATCTATGTTACATGATATACTGGTTTTTTTGTTGAATTATTGGTTTGAGTCCCATAAGAAATCAACCGTTCATGCTTCAGTTACACTATATTGAATTATTAAAGAAAATTATTCTTTTTGTCAAAAAGGCACAAAAAAAAAAGATTATTGAACAAAGAAAAACCCTACCCCGAATCTTGGCTCCTTAGGTTAGCTTTTGATCTTTACATCAAGATAACAAAATGGCACGCCCCGCCAAAACAGGCGTGCGAAAGATCAATCTCTTTTAAACATTAATTTTCCTGTACACCCTTTCAAAGAGTCAAAAGCTTGAAAACGATTTGATGAACAAAAGCGAAAAGGGAAGTTGAATTGTGCCATTAATTAGCAATGTGAATGCAAACTTGACCGTCCTCAATTCCTATAAAGAAAAAGACAAAACCGGACACTAGAAAGAAACATGCAAAGCAGCACGCCTCTTAATATCGACCACATAAAATGGTCTTAAACAGTATTTTCAATGATCAGTGTACACTCGCAGAAAAGAAAGGTGGATAAAGAACCCTTGACTTGCCCTCTCAAAGATGTGATCTTTAATTTGATATTATCTCTAAGTTAATCTCTCAAATTAATTTTTGAGAGGGTCATTATCCCATGGATGAGACACTTGAAAGGGCTCACTTAGCTTGTTAATTAACCACACCTCACAAGTCACAAAGTCCTTTTCTTTCTTGATATCAGATTATCTTTTTGGTAGTGGGACCAATTGGGTTATCATCAAAAGGAATCATAATCTTAAAACCACACAAATTAAATCACACTACTTGCATTTCTTTCCTTTTTAAGTAAAGTGTACAAACCAACTTTAATACATTTTCCATCATTAGTGGCTTTATTTGGAAAGCTTAATGGGACAATCTTGATATGGACCATTAAGCCATCTTAATTTCCTAAATGACCCTCGTAGGTCTCATCTACCACCCTTCTAATAACATTATATATGTTCAAAATGTTTATGAAAGTTCGTAAACATGTAACGCGGATGGATACAATAATGGGTCGTGGCAAAAAGGGAGGATGGTGGCCAAGTTGCATAACATCTCAAAATATGCATGGTCACGGGTGCATGAACTGAATTGAATTATCTACGTCTAACAGTACTTTTAGATTTATATATTTCATTTTCTATATGACATCTAACTAACGAACCCACTTGGTGGCAACTTGTGATCACAAACCCATGTAGCAAATTAACTCGATATATCGTGTTTTTATATAATTACTAGGATTTTTTTTTGTATGTGTTATGTATGTGTATATGTGTGTGTGTGTGTGTGTTAAAATGGAAGTAATTGAGAAAATATGTATTCCTCTCTTTCTTTGTTAAATCCAAAACCCTGGCTAAAAGAGTTATTGATAAGCTTAAATACTATAGTGACGGATTACTTTCTAAATCGAAATCAATTCATGATATTTTTATTTTCAATACTGATTATAGACGTCTTGTCATATACTTTAATATTTGTCAGTATTAAAATGATGGTAATATAACCAAAAAGTAGTTCCTAGAAGATAACAAGATATATATATGTTTATTTTTAAAGTTAATTATATATATATATATATATATATTTATTTATTTATTGATGTCTATGTATCTTAAATGATTATATAATTATCGATTATATTACCATAGCAATAATAATTTCGATGTAATTACGTGTAACTATATTATCAACTATTTTCTATGTAATTAAGACGTTACGTAACGAGGAGAAAGTGACCAAACAATTGTCCCCCATTGAGGACATATTCGAGTTCGATAGTTATAAGATAAAATTTTATTTTATATATGTAACTAAGACATTCCATTAAGCACATTAGATTTTAGTGGTTTTTAACTATGAACAATTTAACTTTCGTGCAGTTTGTGAATATGTTCAAATATGTCCTGCATTTGATGTAGATGTATGAAAATATTTTTTATAAAATCGTAAACTTAATAGTCTCGTATGCATTATTGGTGTCTCGACTGTAATCCTATACACACAAAAATCACCATTTTGTGCAAAGCACCAAAATCTGACTCCTTTACTTACATATTAATATGATTTTAAGCAACAGGCATATAACATGCATGACACCATAATACCTCAAACGTATCATGAATAATAAACAATAACATGCATATAATCATACTTTAATTAAAACATGTCATGTATAGCAATCATGTTGTCACCAAAACGTAAATGCTCGAGCGTACATTTATACATGCATATACGTATGCATCCCGTAAAAGTCTCATGAAGAGTTACATGATAGTGTAGAGTGACTAGAAATAACTCTAAATTAGTAACGTAGATTCACAATATGCACCATAGTATAACATCAATGGCCGATTGCCAAAAAATCGATAAAAGTCAACTATGGTAATTCTCAACCATAATGTCTTGACCATGTTTAAGGCTCCTACTTTGTCCCCGAATGATTTGATCAAATGAGACAAATTAGTCAAAAAGTCCATCTGATGAACATTTGGTCAAGAGTGAAACTGATCAAGACTTGGTCAAACAGAGGTCTATGTGACCTCTTTATGCTGACTTGAGGTTGCAACAAGATCTCGCGAGCCTCCGTACATGTGACCTTCTCATGTGACTTGAGGTTGCGACGAGCTCCTATGTGAGCTTCTGGACCATGCTTGGTCCCAATTTGTGTGACTTCCAATGTGAGCTTTGAGCTTGCGTTCAAGATCATGTCCAACACCTTATGTTGTTGGTGGCTTGCGACCAACGCTGCTTTATGCAACCTCACTTCAACGACTCCAAGGTCGTGTATGACACCTACCGACCTTTGGTTTACACCAGTAGGTAGCAGTCACCAGATTCCACCAAATTCATTTATAGGACCGTTGATAGTTCTTTTTTGCATCTAAATCATTAACTACCAATTTCATAACGAAAAACATTAAAATCCAAATATAAAGTACACGGGGCTAAAAGTACATGTAAAGAGAACGAGATGGAAGAAATATAAAGTTAAATATACAGCGCATATTTGAGATTTACTGAGGTAAATTAAGAATATGAACTCAAATTCTCTGTTCTTTAACCTTTTACCTTGTATATAGCTTGTGAGTTAAGTCTTCAGTAAAAACAAACTTTGAAATTTAAGAACAACCTCCTCATAATCCACACAAAATGTATCGATTACATCAACTAATTTTTTGTAGTGATTTTATTCAAATTTGAATGGTTATTTTGGTAATAAAATCATAGGGGGGAGGGGGACTTGGGTATTTGACTCTAAAACATGAAAACTTTACTTACCTAATTGTAGCCGACAATTCCGTTTAACGTCATCGTCATACCAGTCCAATAATCAATGTTGTGACTTCACACTGCTATCTAACAACATGTTAATTAAGTTTGTGGCAAACTTCAACAACCTGCACCTACAAACAACTTCATTGGTTTGTAAATCATGGAGATATGGGGTTTCGATGTTTGTGGTAGACAATTTTTTTTTTGCTTTGGGAGAAACAATTCAAGCACAAGTGAAACGATGCATGATTGGTTTTTTGAGATACCGGAAAGAATGAAAAAGACACGATCTGTACAAAAAAAACGTTACTATGAAAATATGTAAAACCCTCGTATTATTTTTTAAAAACTCTTAAACATAAAACGGAGGTTTTAACAGATATTTCAGAAACAATTGAGAGGAAAAAGAAAAAAAATATATAAAAATAATTAACGCTCTAGAAGATGCTGTTAACGGTCACAAATTCACATTATTGTTTTTATTAAATAAGTTGATAATTAACGGTCCAAAAAATGACGTCATAATGTCACCGTGTCTGCGTGTCAAAAATCAACGGCTCACTTCTTCAAAGTCGAACAAACAGATTAAAAGTCAACACATCTTGAAGATGCCAACCACCCATATAAATTTCTTTGATTCAAGGCCAGATCATTCATACATCTGTAATTCATGATCATCAGAAAAGATACCACCAAGATGACGACTCTTCAACACCCTTCTCCGGCCAAAAGATCACCGATTTCCGGCGACAAGTACCGCGATTTGCTCACCGACTTGCCTTCACCGTCATCAAGGCCTCGCCGGTTGAATTCGTCTTTGGTTCGGAGGAATAGTAGTCGGGAGATGGTGGTGCCTAGACGGAGGCGCGCCAGTAAAGAGATCGTGAGGAGGGCGTTGACGCCACCGGCTCGTAGGCTCAGTAAGCGGTGGCTTGATTTCCGGCCGACACCTAGTCGGCTTTCGGTTATGTCCATGGCTATTTAGGGATTTTTTTTTGTAATCGTCGAGGAAATTAAATCAGTATTTCGATTAGATTCGGATCGTTATTGCTTTGATTGTTTATACGAGAGAATTTTATTTGTTTGTTTATCTAATTGTTCAATTTAGATTCAATTCACCTGCTGATTTTGATCAATTTCTCCGATTAATTTCTATCAAACGATCATCGCCGCCACGGCGCAACCCATAGATGTTGCAGTCACCGGCGATGTCCGACGTTCACTGCCACCAGACTCGCCGATCAACTCGACTTCCTGATCTCCTTCAAATTAAATCATCAAATTAATAAATCATGTTTAAGTAAAATGTTATCTTATTTAAACATAGATTTCAGAATAAATTTATATCTTGGTATATTTAACGGGTACATAATTAATTTAGGGGTCGTTTAATAAACGTTTATCCGGTAAGTGTTTATTGGGTAATTTTTTTTTTAGAAATGAACATGGTAAGGGTTTAAAATCTTACCCGGTTAGAGCGGTAAATGATGAACAATCTTACCCGGTTAGAGTGGTGAAAGAATGGAGAGTCTTATCTAGTAAGTGAGATTGACGACTCTTATCCGGATAAGCGCTTACAAGGTAAATCTTTGCATACTATATCGTTTTGATGCACTAGAATTTTACCCAGAAAAATAAATTATAGTGTTGACTCCTATCAGTAAGTACTTACCGGGTAAACATTTGAGCAAACGGCCCCTTAGAAAACCAATGAGATATCATTTTATTAAAGAATGAATTATGAATTATGAATTTAGTTCATGTGTTTTGATATTTTTTTTGTTAGGGTTCGTATGTTTATTGTGGATATAGTTCTTGTGGTATTCAATTTGTCTTGAACATGGTTCATCTGACTAACGCATGCATTAAACCAATGACCATTTTAGCATTTTTGTCTAAATTTTTGTCTTTTTCCTATAAAGAGGTAAAAACAATATTTTTATAAACACATACATGTGTGTATGCAGGGGAAGATTCGTTTGAGAAGTGGTAAATATTTGTGAAGTAAATAAGTGATCATAACCCTTTATATGGTCAACATTTGCGGCATTGGCCGTGAAGCACCTGATAATTCCTCACATGGGTGTGCGGAAATTAGAGGAGTAGATTTGTAACTTTTACAAATAAACGACAAACGGGTTTATATGTGAACTCATGTAATACACTATGAACTATATGTTCATATGTGAAACCGTTAATTAGTTAACGTGTGAACTATTTGACTGATCCATATATGAACCCACATGTTCATATATAAATCAGTTAACTAGTTCATACATGAATCAGTTAATTAATTTATATGCGAATCACAAGCGTTCATATGTGAGTCAATTAAAATAGTTCATAGTGAATTATACGAGTTCACATATGAATAGATAGTTCATATGTGAATCACATAGGTTTATATATGAATCCGTTTGCCGCATATTTGTAAAAGTTACGAAACTACCCTCTATATTTTTCGCATAGCTGGAATTATTGATCAGTCAAAGCTGCAATTTGTTTCAAACAGTTAGGATAAAGCTCCATTCATGGAGGAGCTAATGGAACTTGAAGCATATGTGAATGCAACAGGCCAAATGAGTTTGATTTTTGATTTTGATGACTTGAGATTGATTTTGATGGGTTCATTGGAGTCCATTAGAGGTTTAGATCTATTGCATGTTTTGGATGTGCTTATGTTGCGAGGGGCCGGAGATGGTGGTGAAGAGGTTCGATGAAGACAAAGAAGAAGGGACATGTGGCACCATCTAATTGGTGCTTTAAAATCTCTTTTTTAGTTAACCGGTAAAAGGACTATATTTGTAATTAATTCATAACAAAATTGAAACCACGATGATGATATTTGTAATTAATTTGTTTGGAGGACCTGATCCATAATTTCAATATAACCACAAAGATGAAATCTATAATTTACACACACTCTCTCTCTCTCTCTCTCTCTCTCTCTATATATATATATATAGCAAGTTCAAACGAGAACGTTAGCTATTTAAGAAAACAAGAATAATGTCGTTAATGTATAAATCATACATGATTCACACACACAGAGAGTTCAGATTTCCAAGTCTGAAAAATAAGACTTCGGACTTCTTTTTCTAAGTCTAAAAAAAACTTCAGAATTCAGACTTCTATGTCTGAAAAAGAAGACTTCAGAGTTCAGACTCCAGAGTTCGGGTGAGTTAAGTCTGAAAAAATAGACTTCAAAGTTCGGGTGAGCTAACTTTTTAGAATTATTTTTCACGCTTGTACTCTTGAAATAACTCTGAAGAATGAATTCAGACTTGTACTCTGTAAATAGCTCTGAAATAAAACTCTGAATAATGACTTTTCAAACTTGTACTTTTGAAATAACTCTCAAGTATAAAATCAATCCCATTAAATCAGAGTTCAGACTTCTAAATCTGAAAAAAAAAACTATATAGTTCAAACTTCAGAGTTCGGGTGAGCTAAGTCTGAAAAAGAACACTTCAGACTTCTTTTTCTAAGTTTAAAAAAAAGACTTCATAGTTCAGACTTATACGTCTGAAAAAAAAAAAAAGATTTCAGAGTTCGGGTGAACTATGTCTGAAAAAACAAACTTCAGAGTTCAGGTGAGCTAACTTTGAAAAATGACTTCAAACTTGTTCTCTTGAAATAACTATGAAGTACAACTTTTCAGTAAATTAAATTTAGAATAAAATGAAGTTAACTTTAGAATAAAATTGAATTTAGAAATGAAACTATATCAGTAAATTGAATTTAAACTTAGAAGTAAACACCATTTTTTTTGTGAATCAGTTACCTCATGAATTAATTCATACAAGAATAAAATCAATTGACATCCTAAATTAGTAGGATTGATTAAATAAGAGGACACATGTCAATCAAATAAGTATAATTAAACTGTTAATGTAAATTGTGTCTAGATACGTTTATCTTAGTCTAATTGAACCACTACTTGAATCCTGCCAAATTCCACACTTTCAAAAGTAAAAGTCCATTACATGTTTATGCAGGAAAACAAAAAAACCGACTTACCAGAAGAGGACACGTATCTTTCAAGTAATTTATTTATTATAAGTATAAATCAAAATGATTTAATTTTTTAAAAAACCCCTTATTACCGATTTGTTACCGATATATCCTCTTTGTCTGAACCCTCAAAAATAATTATTACCAATATTATACCAAAATAAATCAATAAGTTTTTTTTATAAACAATCTCACACACTCCTACACTAATCAACAAATAAATCATCGTTAATAAAAATAGTATCAAGTTATTTATCGTCCAAATATTTCAGGAACCGTCGAGGCAGAAAAAAGCCGTTAAAACATCCAACGCTGGCCAACAATGATCGTGAAGAAAGCCGATTCTCAGTGCAGATGAATCTCCGGCATGACCGGAAGAAATCGGATCAACGGCCGATAGTCAAATCAATCCACAACTGCACTGGAATTGCACACCTCACTTGACACACACACTCGTTTGCCGACTGGTACGCCACCGTCGAAGACAACACTCGTGGTAAGGGTTTTATTAGTTTACCAATTCATTTCCAATTATATTGAAAAACGCTTATATGTTTTGTTTTCGAATTCGGATTCATTGATATTGGTCGACAGATTGGTTATATACATGGCAAATTCCTTAGCTCGGTTTGAGTCTATCAAGAAGTCATGCAATCGCTTCGTCATTGCCGGTATGTTTCGTAAAATCTATGTGATGTTCCGTGATTATAGCCCTAATTATATGTTTGAAAGACGCATTAATGTACTTCCACTTTCATACTCGATTAATCAGACGAAATCATTCACCTCTATGTTAAGTTGTCTACATTGAAAAACTTTCCTCGCTAACAGTTTAATGTTGTAAGATGATTTAATATTCACCAAAAGAGACGGTATTTTGGTCTTCAATATTTTTACTTTCGTGCAATGTTGAAGATCACTATCGACTTTGGTAAATGAAACTAGTACCTACAAAGTTCAAACCATAAATAGGTGTTACCGTGTTAGATGTTGCTTATGACATTGTCGCCGAATTATCTTCCAAGTACTGGTTTACCTTGTTAACATGGTTGTTTTTGGTCTGTTTTAACATTATGGAGCTAAAAATGGTGAATAGATTTTGTTACCTCCATGTCAGAAGATGATATGAAATCGAGTTAATTAAAATTATGAGTGAACCTTACTACAACCGCCCGAATGACTAAATTTCCATCAACAGCGTCATATTGAAGGCTTCTCTGGAAACAATGAGTAGGAACCTGAATAATAAAAATCAGATCCTTTTTGGGTCATCCATGGAGTATAATCGTACTGTAACAGTTGCCAATATTATTACAGATAGTCTTTTTTTGTTATGGATTAATTGTTCTTTCTGTTCACTATGTCAGTTTATGATGCACTTTTTAGCATATGGAGTATAGCATGACGAGTTGGGACTGGTTGTTTCTTATTACCTTTTGACACATGCCCGTAAGTTGTAATCTCAAATATTCAAGTTGCATCACTTTCCAGTTGAAGATGTAAGTGATTTGTGGCCCCTTGTCAAGGGGGGATTTGAGGAACGGCTTCCATTTAGAAGAGCTATATTGAACAACAAAACCCGTAATCCTGTGTCTATGGATAACCTGCCAGCTGAGTTTATACTGACAACAGATCCAAGGCTCCGCAGCCAGTTCCCTCAGGAGCAATTGTCGTTTTGGTTTCGAGAACCATATGCAACTGTGATTCTTGTGACCTGCGAGGTAACTAGTAACACTTTATGTTTGAACATTCATTTGTTGCTCAAGTTCTTGGCGTTTTTTATCAAAAGTTGGTTTAAGATAGCAAAATGTTGCTTCTTCAAGATAGACAGTTAGCATGGATGTCATGGAATCATGCAGGGGTCATGGTCAGTGGAGATTCAATAGCATTGAGTCTATGTGGGTAATACTGGGCCATGTTGGCTTGATTTTAAGAAAATGACTAGTAATTATATGAGACCTAACCAGTAGGCTATTGAATGATTTTTTACCATTTTTCCAAAGGGCAAATATGGGCAATGGATGGAGCTTAATGGTTATTTTGGTTGACTGACTACTTTGTGGCTTGCCTCAGCCCACACAAACTGAAACGGAGAGTGGCCTATAATACCTTTAACTTATATGTACAATGTCACCCTAGAATGTCTTGAACCAAAACTTTGACGGGAAGTATGCATCGTACTTTTCGAAAATCCTACAGGTAAGATTTTATAAGTTTAATCCTTTTCCTTGACCTTTGGCTTCATGGAGTTCTTTAGTCAGCAGTGAGAACTGATAACTTTCCTATGGTTATGGAAGTTTCCCTTTCCAAGCTGCATGATGTATGTTATGATACTTTGATTACAGAATTCTTCTCACATACTGTTTGTGTTTCTATAGGACCTAGATGAGTTCAAGACAATCCTAAAACCACGTCTGAAATCAATTGTGCAAAATGAAGAGGAGTGGTTCATTGTCTTTGTGTCTAAAGCTGCACCCAATAATGACAAAGCAATCAACAGAGCGAAAAAAGTTTATGCCAGACTTGAAGTTGATTTCAACTCAAGGAGGAGGGAAAGGTAAAACTGGATCCACTGATTACTCTTATCATGAGTTCATCGTAAGATCCCATACTTTGATGACATCATATACATAGAAAGTACATCATACGTTCCTTTGATCACGTGTACACTGAAATCTAGAAAAGTCCAACTTACGAACATTGAAACATTATGTAGAAACTTTTACAACGAGGTTAAGATCACTACTATCTACAACAAACATTACATAACCATATCACAATATAAATTCTTAATCATACTAACCCAAGGACTTTCAGACTTTGTTTTCCTTGCCCTTGCTACTTGCATCTTCTTGATTTTCACCTGAAATGCATGTTATGCTTTAACAAGCGTGGGCCTACTAAGTTCATGAGATTTGTATATAATAATATTTTTAATGTAAAAGTAATATCAATCTTTGAACATTCTGAATGTGCTTTGCTAAAATATAATATTTTCTAAAAACAGCTGATCGGCTTCACTTTACCTGGATAATATTTCAATTCTCTTTTCATAATCAAAGGATCCCATAACTTTTCTGATATGACCACAAGGGAACATATCACTTAACTTTGGATTCATCATTTTGAATCGTTTGCTCTATACTACTCTTTGATACATTCACCACGAATTGCATTATAATTTTTCTTACTTACTCGATATGTTAATGAAGAAGTGTATCCCATGTTTCTATTCCTCATGATACATTCACTAACAAACATGCCACACTTCCTCTTTCTCTTAGTAAACTCCAAAGATACACACCACTCGACATAAAACAGCTTTTATAAAACTTTGGCCACATCACCTCCATAGGTAAACAACTTGCATAGATCATATATTGATGGTAACATACTTTTCACATTAATCTTTAAATCATACTTCAACTTGTAGCCAAAAGACTAAACATGAATCTTCAATTTGATCATAAGTGCTTGGCATAACTGCATAAGAACTTCTTGTGGCAATACATGGCATAAAGCACTTTTCATGGCATGAAGATTTTTACAAATTTATATTGCATGAACTTGATCTACAAAGCACATGCATTTCAGTTTCGAAAAACGTACATGAACTCACCTAGAATTGCTTTCTACTCCTAGCCTCCTCCAAATTTACTATCGTAAATGTACTACCTCTACTAGGTATCCTGAAACTAATCTAATCTGGTGAACTTATATCATTCTTTATAGACCTTAAGATGTATAACTATCTTTAAACTAGATCGGTTCTTATTATCATGCTGGGTCTTGTAAACGGCTTAAATTTAGGAAATAATTAGAAAATTTCAGAAGATGAGCGTTTTCAAAAAAATCAATGGGTCAGTTTGGTCTGATATTGTTTGTAAACATTAGAAGATAATAGTTTTGCCGGAAAGGGAATAACACTGCGGTCAACGATTTGGTGTAGGGTTACGCTTTGCCACATCAAGCGGAAAGCTACGGTGGTTTGAACACCATAGGGCTACTCCATACCTACTCCAGCATGGATTTACACTATAACTTTCCAACTTCTAAAATTATCCACAGAAAGTTGTTCTGCAGAGAACAGCTCTGGTTAGGCCAAAATTTGATGTTTTCTTCAAAATTCAAAGAGTTCTAACTCTCAAAATTTATCATAAACCGCCTCAAACACTTAAAATGTAATAAAATTTCTTCCAAAGAATTCCAGCATTATCATCACAGATTTGAAAGAAAACTACTGAGTTGAACATCCTTTTTCTTCAAGTTCTTTGTGCAACTGAAATTCGTAAAGTCATAAATTTGAACTTATTCCACTAGTATGTTGTATGCATAGGGCCTATTTCCTCATGTCTACTCTAATTTCTTCAATAAACTACTTATCCTTTCACTGACTTTATATAGACTTTGTCTATTGACCCAATCAATTCATGCATATTCTCATATAATTCAGCTGTGCAAAATGATGTTTATGTACTAATACATTAACTTACTTGGGTTTAGCTTGAATCTTGCTTCAAAGAGCGGCAGGGAGGTCAACCTCCATCAAATTTTCTTCTAATACTTCTTAATCTCAATCTCTCTATCTATGAATTTAATTATCATCTTAACAAGACTACAACTAAAAGGTTTGGAGGAGGTTTCTAAAATTCTCCAACTTAAGCGACATATTTCGTGGCATAAAATTCATCATAATTTGTTTATCCATGTGATTAAATACATAATCTACCCATAATTAGTAGATATTAGAACCTCCTTTTAAATTTAACAAAGATAAACTCCTACAACCAAAAATATTATTTAAGTCCTTATTAATAATAAAGTTTAGCAATTTCAACAACTTATAGAAATTTATTTTGGTTATTTCCATCATTGAGTTCCTTTTTTGATTATCTTTTACCTTGTTTACATTGACCGGTATTTGGACTTGGTTTTGTTGATATATTTTACAACCCACATTTATGTGTATATGAGTTTCTAAACTGAATGCTACCACCATAAGATGTGTAGAGGCCTACCATAATGTAAGAGAATCATCTGTAAAGTTAGGGGATAAGCCTACTATGCTAAAGCTATGTAATTTCTTGAAAGCGCAAGGTGGTCCATAAGATAATTGTGTCTCTTTTCTGACTTTTGACTATTGATGCACCAGGTGTTGCAAATTTGATCTACATGGACCTGAAGCAACCTTTTGGGATGAGTTGGAGCCAAAAGTCCTCGAGTGCCTCAGAAACACTCTTGATAGGCGTATCCAGTTATACGAGGAGGAGATTCGTAAGCTCAGTGAACAGCGTTTTACGCCAACTTGGAGCTTCTGTAGTTTTTTCATTCTGAAGGTACCCGATTCTTTCTGTGGGTGAGGTTTATGAGTTTATCATTGTCGATTAATAAGACGTTAGGTTCAAATGTATGCATGATACAATTCTAAATGATAGGTATTATTGGTAATCGTTACCACAGTTTCTGAGCATAGTTTACTTGTCCTTTGAAACTTCGAAGTACTTTTGTTCTACTGTTAGTACTCATGTGATCTGAAAACTAAAAAGGAACACCAAAATCCTCCTGCTCACAAAGACTGAAGGCTCGAGTCTTCCAAACATTTTGTGCCCGCAAATATCATCATCGTGTCACTTGACTCATGTTCAGAAGTTTGCTGCTTCTATGATTTTCTTGGCTTTTTTTAATCATTAATTTTACATACAGGAAAGCCTGGCATTCATGTTTGACATGGCTCAACTTCATGAGGATTCATTACGGGAATATGATGAACTAGAGCTCTGTTACTTGGAAACAGGTACTTGAAGTATATGGTTTATATTGTTTGACCTTATTATCCATCTTAAAACTTGGTGACTGATAATAGATTGTTTACTTGTACATATGATTATTTTTTTCTTTTTTAGGACAATGGTAATAGATATAGAGAATGATACAGTTTCTAGCATATCTCATGTTGATGTAGATCAGCAGATCAGTGTAAAAACTTATTCTTTATCCATGTAACTTCTGACAAGCTGCAACACGATGGAAAAAGGAGAATTAGGTAGTTACTATGTAGGATATTCCTCTCAGAAATTCCAAATGTTTGTTTACCTTGCATTTCTAGGCATGTGTTTTATTTAACTGTTATCGGAAACCTGACGCTTATGTTTTAGTTTCTCTTTTTTGGCTGATATGTGTGTATATATATGTAGTGACATATGGGGAATTGGACAAGTAGCATTAAGACAAACAGATAAATATGATGCAATTAGTTTGTGAACATATTATTGGATGTATTTGTCAACTGAATACTTGTAATCAAAATATCACCTGTTCGTCTTGTGTTTGTTGCATTGAATGGCTGATTTATATTGATTAAGCTAAGCATCTTTACAGGATGTGACTGGCAAAATGCTAAAGTGTAGTCACAGAAATGTTCTTTGCATATATTCATTTGTGGAAAGCATGTTCTGTTGGCAAGAGCACCACTGACGAGCATCTAAGAAATATTTCGAAGCTAGGTTTAACTTTCCAAACACTCAGACTGAACGATATCGTTTTTTACCAATCCTGGAACCATAAGATGAGATCTTTCTAGCTACTGAAATTGTTATCAGATATGCTCCATATTATGTTGGTATTGTTCAAGTTCCTTTGGCATGACTTACAAAAATCAATGCACTATGTGCAACTACTGAAGTGTGAATTTTTGCACCCTTGTAACTATATATCCTTATTCTTTGTGTATTATACAAAGTACTTATGTTCATCTGTTGCACTCTCTTAATAATAGACGTTAATTTATTTTAGTAATGATTAAGCAACCTTCCTTCTTAGCTCTTCTTTCTCTTCTGCATGATGCAGTTAACAATAAACAGAGGGACTTTGGAGGAACGGACCATGGAGATGATCAAGCTGCAATACTAGACCCTGACAACAAACAACTGACGCAGATTGTTCAAGATAATTCCTTTAGGGAGTTTGAATTCCGACAGTACCTGTTTGCCTGTCAAGCTAAGGTTATCTAAGATATACTGGTTGAGTAGGTTGTCCATTAAATATACTCAAACCAGTTTCTGTACTTCAAACTGGTTATCTTTTTGGATGCCAAGAATAATACTACATACATTGCAATACCTGTAGCATATTGCAAAAACTGCATTAGTCGTTACTTTGAATAAGCACGTTTGTGGAGATTATATTATATGATACCTTAATTGATAATTCCATCATAAATAAAGTAAGAATTCTGAATTTATTTCTTACTTAATCACCATGTTTTGACATCTATTTATACTAAATAGAATGGGAGAGAAACTACAGTAACAATTGATTCTCTCCCTCGGAATAAGGAAACAAAACCTAAGTAGGAGATTGCAAGGGATCTTAACTATAGTGAAATAAGTACATTACAATAATACCCCTGTAGCTACTCTAAACGAGAGGAAGGGCGCTCGAGAGGTAGAGGGTGAGGGGTAAGGTAGTGAGCTGGGAAATAGGCTACTTGAGTCCGAAGATAGACTAGGAGATGTCTCGTTCTTACCTTCATTATGTTTCCTTGTACCCATGTTTGATTATTTGGTGCTTACTACTTTTCAATTTTTTTTTCTAGCCTAAATCTTTACTTTTTCACATCTTCTTTTCAATTTTTTGTTTCTAGCCTTAATTACTATTTGCAAGCCGGGGGTCTTCATAGAAACAACCGCTCTACTCTTTCACATAGAGGAAAGGTCTGTGTTACTGGGATATACTTTGCTAGCTTGGTTTGGTTTGGTTTATTTCAACACTCCTCAAGCTTGGTGAATGTATATCATTCATTCTGAGCTTGCTGCATAGATCTTCAAAGCCATGTCGAGGAAGAGGCTTGATGATGATATCCATCTGTTGTCAAGAAGGAAGGTACTTCGATTGAATTGTTCAAGAACAAGCATGTTCTTCCCACATTTGGCTCTACCGAATTTGCCAACCATGACATGATCATGGAGTTTTCTGCCTCCCACTTGTAGCCTTCTTCACCTTCATTTGGCCTTGTTACAGTACCTGAGCGACAGTCGAACTTTCCTTTGCCTTGGACGTACAACCTACTGATTGTGACTATTCATTGAAGTTTTGTCTATTTAGTTTGTGAGGGAGCTCAGATGCTGTTCAGTTTGAACAACTATATCTGCCTCTGTGGGTGTCGGGATGACTCACAAGTAGAAGCAGAACGAGGGCTGTTACTTGGTCCTGCCATTTGAGTTGACAGCTCTGAAAATTGATGAAGATTCATGAAGCCGCTTTTGATGAAATTGATGAAAGATCTCTTGCCTTGGACGTACAACCTTACTGATTCTGATCATTCCATGATTTTTTCTCTATTGAGTTTGTGAGAGGTTTCGGAGCTCTGATGTTGTTCAGTTTGAACAACCGTATGTGCCTTGGGTCAGAATGACTCACAAGTAGAAGCAGAACGATGACTCACAAGTAGAAGCAGAACGAGGGCTGTTTTAGTCCTGCCATTTGAGTTGACAGAGCTGAAAATGGATGATGAAAATCGATGAGGATGCATGCTGCCGCTATTGATGAAATTGATTAGAGATGGGAGGCAGAAATCGACTAGTGACGTTGACTAAGGAGTCATCGGAGCTTTTGTTTCCGTTATCATGACAACAGAAGTATTTCAGATGTTCTAGGAATTGTTCTCTTTGTATTCCTTGAACCATATCTGACACACTGTATAGGGAAAAAACAGAACAAAATCTAAGCCTACAAAAATGAAAGGAATATACAATTATACAACCGAATCTTTAGTGATTTGATTTCCTCAACACTGTATTTTCCTTACCTTCAAGTACAGTAGTCCAGGGCTTTTCATAATAATCATATATAAACTGTTTTGGCTGATAAGTCAGTTTTTTTGCAGCTGTTGTTCAAGCTACACCGGCCATTTGAGGTTGCATCAAGGGGATTTTCCTTTGTTATTAGCTTCTCAGAAGCATTGGCTCAGCATGAGGTCTGGCACTCGACCCATATATGTTATTTGTACTAACTTGTATTTTGTTATAGAGTAAAAATCGAGCTTCTCTAAACTTCCCACTTTAAAATTTCTCATTTATTGTTGCATGTTGTCTTTGGTGCTCCCCAGAGTATTTTGCCCTTCTGTATGAGGGAAGTTTGGGTCCTAACATCATGTGTGGAGTTAGTCAGTGCAACTGCTGAGCATTACAGAGAGGGACTGGTAGCACCAGAGATAAAAAAAGACTATTATCGTGTACGGGGGGAGTTATATTCTCTATGCCGAGTTAAGGTAAAGAAATACTGTAAACACTTGCATTAGATGAATTGTTCCCTTACCAATATCTGATCCGAGTGCATAAAGAGTCAATTTATTCGTGAAGATAATGAGTCATCATTTGACAAGAATGCATATAATATAGTGTGTTTTCCATTAAGCTACAGTTTTTGTGAAAAATATGTCATTTACTTCTTGATCCTTGTCACCTGTAGCTTTCAATAAACGTACTGCTTATTGAAGTGTGTTCATGAACTTGCCAGTTTATGAGGCTTGCATATTTACTCGGGTATGGATCTGATATAGAAAGAAGTCCAGTCAACAGGTAGGCACTCAATTCTTGGCTATTGCTTCTTGCAAGTCTATTCTCTACTCTCTCAAAAGTACCTTTTTTTGGTACAGTGCTTCTCTTAGCATGCTACCTTGGCCTAAGCCAGCAATTTGGCCTACAGTTCCCTCTGATGCTTCATCTGAGGTCCTTGTGAAAGAAAAGGTATGTATCTTCATTTATCATCTTTTTATTCCGGGAGAAAGCCAGACCATATTTCTTTAAATGGAAAAACTCGGGGGGTGGATAAATGTATAAAGCTTATAAGAGGTAATGTTGATGATTATGGTTAGATCCTCCAATGACCTGTGAGCCAAAAAGAGGAAAATATTTTTATACAAGCATATTGGATGGCATGTCATTCTATATGGCTTTTAATGACACACATGTCATTGAATTTAGCATGTCAATCAGGAAACAGATAAATGAAAAACTAGAGCTTTTTTTTCGTCAGATCTTTTGTTGATCATTTCTATTTCTGGTTTCATGCTATGTACTTATCAATAATACTTCTTTTGGTAACAATTAAAGTGATTAAGCTATATTATAGATGATTCTTGAAGTTACTCCAAGGATCAAGCACTATGGTATTCAGAGGAAACCATTGCCTCTTGAACCATCTTCTCTTCTGCATGCGGCTAATCGTGGAGGAGACTCTCTTTCTGCTGGAAATATGTTTGAAGTGCCTGATGGGTATGGAAATATTTACTGTTATGTGCATTCAAAAATTTGAGGTTTTGATTGTCAGGCACATAAAGGATCTTGGATGTCATATTATTTGTTTGATTAGAAAATACAAACCAAAACCAATTATATTCAATAAGTGGTAATATTTACTGTTGATGCTTTTTAGCCCAGCAACAAGTGGCAAGTTCTTAAGTTGAGGAGACTGTTTCAGTTGAATATGCAGTTCCCATTTTTCAACCATAATTTTCTTGACATATTCAGCTTATTAGGATATACTGGAACTTAATATAAAAGTTGGTTTTGTTATTTGGGTTGAAAAACAGGATTTTATAAGTGGTTCAGTGGATGCCAATATTGTTTAACTTATCTGGCACTTCCACTACTTTAATTTTCCTTATTATTTCGACAGACAACACTTCTTCCTTTCAGGTTAGGCTTTTCATGTTCTCTAATTAGAAACCAGAATATGCAAAACACTTGCTAAGTTAGAAGCTATTGATCAACAGCGGTTATTATTCCTTTGCTTCATAAATTTACATGTAAGGAAAGATAGATTATGAGAAACCATTCTCTCTTAATATGGCTTGAACATTCTTCTTTCTTTTGAAACCTGTATGATCATTTAAATATTTTTTTCCATTTATTGCCACCTTTTTTTTAAACATATTATATGCTGCTAGCTCAGGTTCAGAAGGACAAACGTCTCCTTCACCTAACTTACCTTCTATGTCGATGTCAAGGACCAATTTTGCACCAGGAAACTTTGAGAGCTCGACTGATTCTTCCAAGAGATTCGCAGAACTTTTTGTGGCTGCTGAGCATGCTCTCCGTAGGACTATTTCTGATCCTGATTTATGGAAGTCATTATCATCTTTAGAGGAGTTTGAGGTAGATGGTACCGATCTATATCAATTACTTATATGATGTAAATCAGAAACTTTTTCTAACCAAACTGATTTGCTTAGACTTAAATATGATATCCATCTGTTTTCAAATGATTTCATATTAAACTACCAAGAGATGCAAAATTATAGACAACTACCGTTTATGTGATGTATGAGTATGACACCATGTTATATGAAATTCAAGACTAGATTAATTCTTCAATCTTCACTCAGCTTAGCTTCTTTGCTGTTCAATGTAAAACATGAACCCTACAAACACTACATTACATAAGGAATGGTAATTTGTTGGATGTTTCTCTATCTTACTTCACCATCTGTATTTTCACCAGAAAAGATATCTGGAGCTAACAAAAGGTGCTGCTGATAATTATCATTATTCATGGTGGAAAAGACATGGTGTTGTTCTTGATGGTCAAATTGCAGCTGTTTTCTTTAAGCATGGTAACTATGATCTAGCTGCAAAGTCATATGAAAAAGTTTGTGCTCTTTATTCTGGCGAAGGATGGCAAGATTTGTTGGCGGATGTGCTTCCTAATTTAGCAGAATGCCAGAAGATACTTGATGATCAAGCTGGTTACCTGTCCTCTTGTGTGAGATTGCTTTCTCTTGATAAGGGCTTGTTCTTGAACAAGGAACGCCAAGCTTTTCAGTCAGAAGTAGTTCGTATTGCACACAGTGAAATGGAGGATCCTGTGCCTTTAGATGTCTCATCGTTAATAACATTCTCTGGCAATTCAGGGCCACCCATGGAGCTATGTGCTGGGGACCCGGGTACCTTGTCTGTAACTTTATGGAGTGACTTTCCTGATGACATTGCTCTTGAATCACTTAGTCTCACCTTGACTGCTACCAACAATGCTGATGAACTTGTTAAGGTATTCTGCGTATTAAACCAAGTACCCCCTCAATCCCAAAATAAATGTCCACAATGAAAAAGGCACAGTTTTAGAAATGTGTAATTATCACACTTTTTAGTCAACTAAAATAATTTTACTCTTAAGAATAAAGGGAGTGATGAATTCCTCTATCTCATGATTAATGGTAGAATTGGAAAGTGGATGCTTACTTTTGAAAGTGAACACTTATTCAGGGACAAATTAAAATAAAAATGTAGACTTATTTTGGGACGGAGGGAGTGCTATGCAGTTGCAATGTCATCAAGCAAGAGGATGCATTTTGTCGTTTCTTCTAAATTCAAATATTTCTTCTAATTTATAGGCAATCAAGAGCAGTGATGTTACTATACTGAACCCTGGTAGAAATACGATTACTCTTTCCTTGCCCCCACAGAAACCTGGTTCCTATGTCTTGGGGGTTCTTACAGGGCAGATTGGTCATTTACGATTTAGATCTCATGGTTTCTCCAGAGGTGGGCCTGCAGATAGTGATGATCTTATGAGTTATGACAAGCCAACTAGGCCAATTTTGAAGGTAGTAATGTTGTTGTCATACGCAAATTAGAACTAAAAAATGATTTTACTGCAATTCACATACGAGCAGGGGCAAACCTATTAGGAAATGAGCGGGCTTCCGTGCACCCGCTCGCTCGATTATTGCATGAGAAAAAATTTAGTCGTCTGAAAGGTGCACCCACTTGATTTTGAGGGGTGCCCTTAAATACTTTGAAACAAAATCTATAATAGGAATTAATACGGGTGGGATAGTTGGATTACCATTTTATATACTAGAGGTGAAGGGTTCAAATCTTTTAGGTGAAATTTTACTTTTTTATCTTTTTAACTTTAGGCTCCAGGGCTAGCCCATAGCATTTACTCCGGCCCTACAATGCTATTTAACAGCAAAAATGCAGTTAGAAGATTATATGCATTTCAAATACTATGCCAAGACATCTTTTGTTAATTTTTCTCTCATTTTGATTTTACTATTTTTTTTATGATTTATTTTCTTTCCCCATGTCAATTCATCTTAATAATGGTGCTTTTTATCTCATTTTCAAGGCAACATATATTTATTTTGAGGATCAAGGTCGATTTCATTTGAATAAAATGGATTTTATTCCCCAAATCGACACAATTGACTTTTATATAGGTCAAACTGTGTTGACTTCCTCCCTAGGTCAAACACAATTTTATGGACTTTTGATCCACCTTAAAGGTGCACCCGTTCAAAGAAATTCCTGGGTCTGCCACTGCATACAAGTCACCACTGCTATTTTCTAATATAATCTGTCCTGAACATGTTTATTTGTAGCACTGGTGATGTTGGCAAGTTCTGTTTGTGTGTTATGTTCCAATTTTAGGTGTTCAAACCAAGGTCACTTGTTGATCTTGCTGCAGCAGTTTCATCTGCATTACTAATGAATGAGCCTCAGTGGGTTGGGATAATCGTAAAACCATACGGTTACTCTCTCAGGGGTGCTGTTTTTCACATCAACGCTGGCCCTGGGTTGAGGATTGAGGAATCGTGTGCCATCGAAATGGAGACGTATGTCAATGCACAACGGAAGGTAGATGGGTTGCAGGATGCAGATGGTGATAGCAATAATGCTTCTGCTGTTCCCAAAGAATTTGCTCAACTTACTCTTAGGAATGGTAGTATAGAGTTACCAGATTGGGCGAGCAATATAGTTAGTGTTATATGGTTTCCCGTGTGTGCCCTCAGTGATGGGCTAGCAAGAGGAACAACTGCAGGTTTTGATGACGATAATTTATCACTTTTCTCAGTGCTGTAGGTTTAGGCATGTTTTCTTTGATGACGAAGGGTCGTGTGAGAATAGGAGTTAAGGTGAGAAGTGTAAGAAGGAATTTGGACCCTTGATCACTTTTAATCCCAAAACAACCAATGAATTATGCTTTAGAAAGGAATTGATCTAGTGTATCTCATTAGTGTTGATCTAGTGATTCTCTTCAATTAGGATTGATCCAAGGGTGGAGATCCCTTCTCACACTTCTCATCGTAACTTTCATTCTGACCGGAACCCAACCTTTCTTTGATATTTTACCGTATCTTGACTAATTAATTTGCTTTACCATTTCCTTTTAGGGGCAATCACTTCCCAAAGAGCAAGTGTTGTGGATGGCCTGAGGACTGTCGCTCTGAAACTTGAATTTGGGGTGATGCATAATCAGATATTTGAAAGGTTTCATAGTCATCTTTCAACCTGAAATCTCAATGCAGTCTGCTGTCTCGGTTGAAGTAGCTAAACTTCATTAATGCTATTGTGGCTATTTATAGGACCGTAGCTGTTTATTTCACCGACCCATTCCATGTGAGCACACGCGTATCAGACGAAGGCAGTGATGGTGCTTTGCTTTTGCAGGTCTATCGCGTTAAAACTTCTATGCTTCTGTAATATACTAATATTGTTAGTTAGCTTTACTATTTGTGGCTAGATCGTGAAGAACTGATTTACTGTTTTGATGAGGTTATGTCTGAGAAGCTGTACCAAGTGAACGGGAACTTTGCATTCTGAATCATATAGTCTTATTCCTGATATTCCATTAGGGTGCATTTGGTAACTAGACAGCACATGACATAACAGGATAAAACAACTGTTTAGTGTTTGGTAAGACAGAACTGGATAAGACAGAACAGATAAAATGACCAATTTATCTCTAATGAATTGTTTATATATTTTATATATTTTGATTAATTATGTAATTATTAAGTTATAATAAAAATAATACTTTTAATAACAAAATATATCAATAGAAAATTTTCGTCAAGACGATTAAAATGACACCAAAATAAAAGTTAATGTAGTTTTCAAAATTTTATTTTATACCTTTTATATATTTTTATTATTATTAATATTTAATAAATTACATAAATTAATCAAAATATAAAAACCGTATAAAAATAATATTTTGAGGACAGTAAATAGAAAGTTGAGCATAAAATACAGTAAATAATTTTTTTAAAGAACGAATAAGATGTAAAGATGAAGGCTTTTTTGATGTTTTAGAAGAGAAACAAATTTTATTTTGAGGTTATATTGGTAAAACATAGGTATGTTCCACCTCGTTTCAAATTGTTCCATGCGGTGGGGGGAATATGTCTATTTTACTTTGTTCCACATAAAAGTCCTGCCAAACGTAGAACATAGATCCCTATTTTGTTCTGACCTGTCCTATCCAGTGTACCAAACGCACACTATGGTTATGTTTGTAGCTTCATTTCCATGACATCGGCTATGAGGCCTATGTAGGATTTTTTTATTCTCAAAGTTATTTTGTTCTTGTTAGTTGCATGTAAAATATAAAGTTTGGTTTATTATTAACAGTTCATGGTCATGAGGCAAGATCTGCTTACATCCTATTCTCCCAAGCATTACATATGTGTGGGATATATTGGGTTCGTTTGGTTTGGTGACCAGAAATTTAATTGTTTACTTTCATATTTGAGAAATTAAGAATTGGTTATAAATGATGTTTAACATTTGGCCTTTCTTTTTCCCTTGCCCTTTCCAGGCGATACTACACTCACAGGTGAAAGCTTCTTTAACCATTCATGATGCTTGGTTAGATCTACAAGATGGTTTTACTCATGCTGGACGGGGAGATGGGAGACCAACATCTGACTGTTTCCCTCTTGTAGTTCCCCCAGCATCTAGAGCTGGAATCTTGTTCGGTATATCCCTGGGAACTACAACCACTAAAGGTAATTCCTTATTATGCAAAATATCATGTATTATGTTGTGATCCTTGAGGAGATGGACATTGTTTTTTGGATTATTATAGAAACTTTTTGAAAAAGAGTACCATAGTTTTTTTCTTTTAAGATTCTGTAATAGTTGATCTTGGCTACAGTGCAGCTCTGTTATACATCTTTCATCTTATCTCCAACCTCCCCCTCCCCCACCTCATACACACCCACACACAAATTTATATTTATAGTCAAGATCATGTGAGAAATTTACTTTTGTGAGAAGGTGACAACCAGTGAAGATACATTTATATTGTGTGAATTGTTACGTTATACAGTGTGGAGATTGTAACCCTTACATCACCTTCAATTGTGTATTGAAAGGTTACATTATATTGAGTGAATGTTGTAACATTCACACAATATAAATATATCTTTTCATAGTTCTCACAACAAACCTCAAAAATATAAGGACGCCTTCACTTTTTCTCGCATTCTCATGAAAAGGGGTTGTTCTTACTTGAACCCAACCTTTGGCGGAAGATCGTGTGAGAAGGAGAGTTAAGGTGAGAAGCATAAGAAGGGAGACCTTTAATCTCATACTCACCCATGAATCGCGCTTGATACGGCGATTGATCCGGTGCATCTCTTCCTAATGTGCATCCAAGGATGGAGATCCCTTCTTACGCTTTTCACTTTAACTCTCCTTTCCACTAGAATCCAACCCCCAACCTTATATATATATATATATATATATATAGGTGAAGGATCGTGTGGAAGGAGAGTTAAGATGAGACGCGTAATAAGGGATTTGGACCCTTGATCACTTTTAATCTCAAACCCACCCATGAATCGCGCTTGATACGGGGATTGATCCAGTGCATCTCACCCTAATGTGTATCCAGGGGTGGAGATCCCTTCTTATGTTTCTCACTTTAACTCTCCTTCCCACCGGAACCCAACCCTATATATAGGGTTTGGTTCGAGGAAAACCTCAAGAAAAGAAAAACCGAGGAACACCCTGCATAAAAACCAAAGAACATCTTCAGTTACTTGTAAGCATATGTGCATACCGTATAGATGAACAGTTATTAGGGTGTTCCTCAATTTTTCATTTTTTGGGGGGTTTTCCCTCTGGACCTCCCTCTTATGTGTGTGTATTCACATCAAGTTTCAAACAGTCCCCTATTCATGCATTCACGTTGTTCTTCCTCTACAATGGAACTTGGGATGATCAACTTCCTGATGAAAAATCTTCAATCAAACTTCAATGTACCCTTTTTTTGGAATGATTCTATTTTTTTCTTTGAAGTGCACATGGGTCATGTGAAGATTGAGTCTCGTATCATTATAAAGTTTACAACTATAAATGGCATTCATTTTTCCGATTCACTTGTCTTCCAACCGAGTAACTGAATTTGTGGTTTTACAGATGAAGAGAAAGTGCTGCATCCTGATACAGTATTAAATATTAGATATGAAATTGCTGGGGATAGAAACCTTGGCTCTCATACCCCCGTGTCTCTGGAACCCAAAGGACCCGAGGATGATGCCACACCATTGTTGACATTCAGAAGTGCTCTTGTTTTACAACGCCCAGTGCTGGAACCTTTCTTAGCAGTTGGTTTTCTTCCTCTTCCTTCAGATGGTCTTAGAGTCGGGAAGCTATTCACAATGAAATGGAGACTCGAAAGGTTGAAGTTTTTTGAGGAGGAAACAGCTTCTGATAAAAGCGTAAGATTTTTTCATTCTTTTTTGAAGTATAATATATATATATATATATATATATATATATATATATATATAAATACTCATGCACACTCCTCATCTTTGGTGAGCTTTGAACACTTGACCTCCATGGAGGCAGGGCTCTATTGGTAACCTGGGTACCGCTGGCCGATGGTGTGCAAGATTTCTCAACCTTACAGTTTACCAATTGATAGGATTGTCTTCACTTACCTATTTTATTCTCTCCGTTAGTAACAGCCAGCATCATATCAAATCCACTTAAATCAGCCTTCCCCTTGCTGTATCTTTGCAAAGAAAAGGCACATCTAATTTCAGATGGAGTGGAGGTTAGATAAACTAAATCAAACTAAGGTTTTGTTTATTAGCATCTTAACGAATTTAATAGGACTTACAACTTATGCGGTTAGCTATACAGTACTGTTTGGTAGTGGCTTAATGATATAGAAGTTGCTTGTTTAGTGAGCTTCTATAACGGAGCTTTATGCAGAAAGCCAAGTTTTTCCAAATCTGCCCCTCTTAATTAAAAATCACCCTCCTTCCATCTATGGAAAAACTACCAAACGAAAACCTTTTCAATTAATACAGACAGATTAATCTACACAACAACTTTATCCATACAGAACTTAATGGAAAACCAACCACAGAGCCCATAACACAATAAATCCTTCAAAGAGGTAGGAACTGCGGATTAAGATGCAAGTAGATCTTGCCGTGAAGACCCTCGGCTTGCAAAACAAAAATTAAAAGAATAAGCAAGTATGCTACATGTGAGAGTGTGTTCAAAGCATGGATGGACCCAATTTAGTGCCACCGTATTATCCATCCGTCGAAAGGTAAAAAAAAACTAGGTTCATGAAAGGTGCAACCATATCAATTTGTTGTGTGTCACCATATATATTTTAAAACTACAGTAAGGACACAAGTTTTCCTTGGTAGAGTTGGTTTGCAAGACTTTTCTTCCACCTCAGACATGAGTTCGAATCTCGTTAGTGACATTTTCTTACTTTTTTACTCTTTAATTGCAGATTTATTATTTTTATGAGAAAAATTTGCAATAAAAGACTTAAACACAAGACCTCACATATGAAAAACAGTGAACTAACCAATAGACCAGTTATGATGTTATAAAAAATATCTCGATATTTATTTCATATAGTCAAATGGTGCCACCGTTTGAAAAAATTTATCGGTCCGTCCCTGGTTTAAAGAAGCAAATAGTACAATAAACAGAAAATGTATGAGTAATAAAAGTGGGGGAAATAGATTAAACTAACAAGGAAACACAGAGTGCAAATACTGACATAAAGAAAGGAGTCATTTTGGGATATGACCTTAAATGAGTTTATACTTAAATACATGACCTCGTGGTCTATTAAAGAAAAATTGGCTTCATACGGGTCATAAATTTAATTTTAATCTCATTTCGTTTAACATTATATGCCTAAATATTCCTGAAGAAAGGCTAAGATAGTGTACAACAAACAAGCAGATATGTTGCATTAAGTTAACTGAATTCAGAATGGGAACTCCCAAGTCCCTTCATGGAAGGATGACAACATCATTTTATATTATATTTTACAGGATGGAGTAGTGTATGAAGTGAAAGCGAATTCAAAGAATTGGATGATTGCCGGGAGGAAGCGAGGCCATGCCCCTCTCTCCACAAAGCAAGGTATGGTGTGTTGGTGATTTTAATTTTCAATCATTTTAGTGTGGTTGTGATTTACATGAGATTGATATGAGATCGATCTGGTGATAAGGTAAGCATAAGTGAATTAAGAGGTGCGGAGTGCACACTAACAAATGTTGTCTCTATCGCCTTAGTTCGCCTTAAAGGCAGGGGTCAAGGAGGCTGCACCCCCTTGCAGGGACCTAGGGTCGGTGAATTTAGGGGGGTCCAAGGGGCAGAGGTCACTTAGGAATTTTGAGTTTTAGGATGTTTTGAACATATTTAAAGTCAGAATCTCATCGAGATACTGCTGAAACTTGGTAAAATTGGCCAAGTTTTGTTCATAGAATGTGGACTCAAAGCCTCTGAGACTTAGGCTTAGAGCTATGATATCATCGGGGTTTTTAAGTGTCAAACTAAAGCCTCTGGACCAGGGACGGACCCAGTGTAATGCATATGGTGGGACCGTATCAATTTAACTACAATTATAGGGTCTTGAAAAGTGCCACCATATCAATTTAACTACAATTAGGACACAAGTTTCCCTTGGTAGAGTTGGTTTACAAGGCTTTTCTTTCACCCCAGACTCGAGTTCGAGTCTTGTTACTGTTAGTGTCATTTTCTTAGTTTTTAGCTTTTAATTTCAGATTTTTTATGTTTTTAAAAAAATTGCAATAAAAACTTGAACACAGGACCTCACATGTCAGAAACAATGAACTAACCACCAGATCACTATTAATTTTGTGAAAAATATCCATATTTGTGTTTCTTATACTCAAATGGTGTCATTGCTTGAAAAAATTTCTAGGCCAAAGCCCTCTGGTTCAAGTGATCAGAGCCTCTGGTCCGAATGATCAGAGCCTCCTCTGGGCTTCCTCTGAACTCATTGCTTCTGATTTTAAGACAGCTGTAACCACTCTCACATCTTATCCGTTATCGGTTGTAACTGTGGCGCAGCTATGTCTTAACCGTTTTAACCGCTCGTAACCGTCGATCTCTCATATATATGTAAACGAGAATGTAGGTGTATACAAGGACTCGATCTTACAGCCTTTAGAATTAGAGTTTTCTCTTGGATTATCCCAATACTAAATTCGTGAAACCCAAGGCAATGAGGGTCGAATTATTGTATTCGGAAAGTAAACTTTCACGATCCAAAGAGATTATCCAGTCCACATATCATCTCCAATCCCCAATTCCTAACATGTTGAAACTTGAAAACAGCAGCCTCCTCCCTCTCTTTCCTGAGCTTAATTGAGAACTGTTTGCAGGTTCAAGAATCGAGATTTCGATATTGTGCGTACCGCTAGCTACCGGATATGTTCGGCCTCCACAACTGGAGCTGCCAAACGTGAAGCGGGCGAATATATGCTGCAATCCTGCTGGCCCCCATTTGGTTTGTGTCTTGCCCCCACCTCTCAGCTCATCTTATTGCATTCCATCCTGATACATGACAAATCGGTACGTATCAAAGCCAGTTTTGACGCTTGTTTTCTGTAGAGTTATATCGTCCCCTTTTGATTTTCGTGACATTTTTTAAATTTGTTAGAGTAGCCGTCCTCTTTCCAAAAAAAATGGTCATTTTCCCCTTCTTAGTGATTGACAATTAAATGATGATTACTTGTAAACACTCAATTAACAACCTCTATCAACCGAAATTAAGGATAGCCAATAAGTTGATATACAGGCTTTGATGGTTAGTACTGAGAGTTGATTTTACCTTACCAATTATATGTTGATGATTTTAGTGGCATTTGTCATTTTGGTGTAATTGAGATCGATTAAGGTGATAACTGATAAGTTAAACAACGTGAGTTAGGAGGTGTGGAGTGCACACTTACAGATGTTTGTTTCTATCACCTTAGATCGCCAAAAGGCAGGGGGTCAAAAGGGCCGTGCACCCTTGTGGGGTCCAAAGGGGAGCACCCCGAGGTCTAGGATTTTAAGAGAAGTCTTACTTAGGAATTTTCATGTTTCGGATGATCTGAATAACTTTAAGAAGGTTGGGAACCTTCTTGAAATTGTTCCTGAACTTGGTGAAATTTTGATGAAGTATAATTCAGAAACAAGTGTAATTAGAGCCTCTTAGGATTTATTTACCCAAAAGCTTACCCAGTAAGTACTTACCAATAAGAATCAACATTCTAACTTATTTTACCGGATAAGATTGTAGTCCATCAAAATGGTATTACATGCAACAATTTACCCAATAAGGGTTTACCGGGTAATAGTCTTCATCCTCACTTACCAGGTAAGATTCTCCATACTTATTATCACTCTTACCAGATAAAATTCTCGATCATTGTCATGTTCATCCGGTAAGATAAATGACCGGATAATGGTAAACGGTTAAACCTCAATAAGACTTGGGTTGGCGGGTATGGGTTATATTTGTAGATGGTTAAATAGAACATCAATGACCAAATTGATAAATACCCCATACCTTCCCCTTTGACATGATTGTTTGCTTTATATCCGTTTTTTCTCTTTTCATTTTTGTGTTTATTTTTACCATTTGTATTTTTTTTTTTTGAAGTATATAATATTTATATACGGCAAATATAACAAATAAACTTACACACCATCCTCATCTTTGGTGAGGTTTGCACCCCTAACTTCTTAGGAGGTCAAAGATTCAAATACCGCTAGGCCAAAGACCCTTTGGTTACCGTTTGTATTTTATGCATGAATAATCAAATTAATCATGGGCATATTTATCTTTAATAATTGATTTTGAAAGTGATATATTTACATAGACCATTGGAATCTTAAAGCAAAGTTAGATGTAGGAATATTTTGAGACAAAATCATATTCTAAATGTTTTCACTCTTTAATTTAGAGAATGAGTTGAGTAGCTCTTAAGCTTTGCTTTTGTCACATTCAAATGTTGTTACAAATCAAAAAAGAAATTCCTGAAGAAAAAGTTATCAATATATATTTTTAACTTAAAATTGATAAGATGTAGGGGGTGTTCATCGGTTGAAATCCAACGGATTTCGGTGGATTCCATCCGATCAAATCTAGGGATGTATGTGGATTGGGTTGGGCAGTTTTTGATATTTTTATAATTCAACCTAATTATGACCGTTTGAAAAATCACAACCCAACCCAACTCGTTCAAAAGACATACTTCATATGTTTATCTGTGTAATGAAAATAGAAATTTATCTGAAAATAGAAAGCAGCTTTTAAACAATTGTCGTTCCAACTTCTACGAGCATCTATACATGAGAAAATCATACACTAAAGTGCATATCGATCATTGACATTATACAGTTGCATGTATGATCACTATATTTATCTTTTTTTCTAAAAGAAATCAAGTAAACATCCCAACTCCTACAAGCTTCTCAAAATTGTTGGTCATATATCATTATTTCCCATATAGGTAAAAAAAAAATCAATAACAAGACATCGTCCATACTATTAAAGGTTTTTTCAAAAGTATCTAGCAGTAACAATGTCCAGTGGTGTTCGACGGCGTCCAACAATGCTCGATCTGGTTGTTTCAATGTACTCATGCTAAGGGAATGAGGTGGCAAAATGGAATTGAGGCGTATCGATGGATTACTATATAGCTCATAGAGTGTCCGACCTAGTTGGATTAATTTTGGACTTGTTAGATTAATTTTGGGTGTCGGGTTGTAAATTGGACTAATATATGTATATATTTTTGGGTTGTAAATTATAATTGACGTGTGTATATATATATATATAGTTTTACCGAAATAATATACAATAGAGGCGGGTTGGCGGTATGGGTTGGGTTGGATTGAGTTTGACTAACCCAATTTCAACCCTTCTAATTAGCGGGTTGGGTTTAATTGAGTTGGACAGGTTTCACAGATTGACGGTTTTTTGTACACCCCTAATCGGATCCGATTCAATTAACTAAAATCGGAAATCTAATCCAATCAACTCCAATCGGGTCAAACCGATTCGATCAATTGGAAATTGCTATTGGTCACCTATTGAATAAAATTAGATTCATCCGATATCTTGATCCAATTTTCAACCAATTAATCCATCATTTCAACCAATCATTTATATATTTTATTAAATTATTAAAAAACACTTTATATAAATATCAACGAAAATACAATATCTTAAAATGATAATAATTATATATTTATTAATTAGATGGTAGTTGGAGGATAATTGGATAATTCAAGAACCGACCGATTCAATTTATATGTTGAAGTTTTGGATCCAATCCAATCTAATTACAATTAAATATCTGATTATGATCGACCAGTCATAATTGGATACTCAATGCTATTAAAAACAATGTAAATTAAAAATGTTATATAAATTTATTTTTGGGTGCGAAGACCGTCTACCAACCACACCAAAGACTCTTGCTTGATTATTATTTAAAAAAGTCAAAACCTAACCTCTATGATGTGCCTTTTGCACCTTTAAACATTTCAATTCATTGTCTACTTCTTAATAGTTTTATTAAGAGGTAACATCTGAATCGTTAAGAGATGAAATTTGTTTGGCAAAAAAAAGTCAGTCTCTTAATGGTTCTAAAACTATCTGAATGATTTTATATCCTGGATTTTCCTTAACCATTAAGAGCCCTAATTTCATTATACATAATTACCAAAAAAATTATATTTTATTTTACACTATATCATGAGAGCATCTTAATCATTCTGACTACTTAGTCATTCTGCACCAAACCATTTAGCAATTGCCAAATAGCCCCTCAAACTCCCAATTGATTTTACGTAAATTTCTGAATAAATTATTATGTTTTAGTTTGTCTCAAAATGTGTGATATTGTTAAAAATAAATGTCTATTTTCACATTCTACTCTTAAGTATTAGATGGATAAATTCTCTCAATATAATTAGAGGTAAATTGTCTGTTTGTTAACTAAATAGTGTAACAGTTACATATTCTTAAAAAATTTGTGCATTTTTCATTACGGACATTTATTTTGGGACGAACTAATAAGTAAATGGGTAAATTGCATGAAAAAATAACGTATTTTAACTTGATTCTTATTTTTGGTAACATAATTATAAACTTTCATAATTTTTTTGATTAACCTGGATATACCGGTTGAAGATTAATTGAAGTACCCGAGTAACCGGTTGAAGATTAATTTTAGATTAAAAGAAAAACCACTTTTAGATTAAAAAAAATATGTGACACTAGTTACGTTAGCAAATAATATTGAGTTGGATACCACATTAACATGATAACTGATTAATATTTCAATCGAGTACTTAAATGTTTACAACTTTATATCTTAAATATCAAAATGAAAGTTTTGAAAATACATTACTTAAATATGAATCAAGTTAAAATACATTATTTTTATTCAATTTACCTAGGAATATGTATGTATAATATATGTGAGAGATACTCTAAAACATTTAAAGTGAACAACATTCAAAGTATCGGCCATCTATTATTAAATCTTAATATAAAAAGCTACAATAATACAGTAACTTTTTTCAAACCACTACTTTTAAGTATTTATCTATTAGTTTATTAGTGAGCAGTTATTATCATTTATTGTTTCTTTTTGATTTAAGTCCATATTTTTTTTTGTTAAATATTTTTCTAAAAAGTTATATAAACATTGTGTTTGAAACAAATATTAGCATTCTTATTTTGAACACTTTACCTTTAAATTTTATATGATGCCTTATTACTATGTTTTTTTTTTATGTATAAAAAAGAAGGAAAAGAAAAGGCAACAAAAACATCAATTATTCTTTGATGTTAAATTTTACATAAAAAGATAAGATCAGTTGTTAAGTTATTTTTTCTGGAATTATCTTTTATTTATTTAGGGGGTGTTTGGGATTGCTTATTTGAAACAACTTATGATTTTTTACAAAAGTGTTTATCAAATTTATTATAAGTTAGAATGATTTAACTTCTTCAAAAACTCTTTTATTACCGGTTTGACACCGGTATAAATTGTTTATCCAAACACTCAAAAGTGTTTATCACCGATGTCCCATCGAAATAAGTCAATAAGTTGTTTTTATATGCAATCACAAACACCCCTTTAATGTTGGAGTCTCGAAAATGGAAAATCGGAGATGAATTTTATAGAAATTTTGACTTTTGGTTCTTTATTTTAGAAAATCTGTTGTAGATGTTTTTAGAAATTTTCGTTTTCTTTTCTTAAATTTAAAGATTTCTTTTATTTTTATTTTTTTTAAAGGAAAAAAATTTAAATCTATATATTTTTAAGAATACCATAATAATTTATTGGAGATGCTTTTAAAGGGTTTTTATGATATTTTGCTTGTTTTCAAATTTTAATTTAAAGGCATTCATATGGTTGATGTGGCAGTTAATGATGTGGGGTAGCAATCATATCACATGCCCATGGTAAATGCGCATGACACATGTTCACCTCTCACTGCTCACTAACAAAACGTTCATCGCCTTTTTCTTTAAAGTCATAAAAGAATATTCAATACAAAATTCCATTAAAACTATATAATTATTCATGTAAATGATTCGAGTTTTTAACGGGTTATTCGAGTTTTAGTTTTTAACGAGTTATTCGAGTTTTAGCTCTGAGTCAATCATGAACACAAAATAAAACTCGTTCAATCTAACGAACCAAAAGCCATAACATTAATATCCGACTCAAACTCGATTAAATTTTTCGAGTCAAAACCGAACCATTCGAACATACACTTTTTCAAACCAAACATGTTCATATATATTCATTAACCATACAACAAAAATATAAAAATCATCAAGCTCAAGTCGATAAACAAGTTGATCAATCACGAGTTCAAACCCATAAACGACCATCGAGCTCGATAACTTAAAAAAAATTCTAGCTTGAGTCGAGCTCGAACCGACGGTTGGTTAACTCCCCTAATTGCAACCATATAAATAATAAGTTATATTTATATAAAAACAAAATTACAGTTAAAACAAGAGGCTTTTTAACTATGGAGGGTTCTGGTTCCACTTTGTTTCACCAGGCCTTGGTCTTTTCAGTACTAATTCATAATATATATATTATTTATGTGTTTTAATTTTTGTATTTAAAAAAGGAAAAGAATCAGTGGATATTGTTTTTTTCTTTTCTTTTTAGGATGTAAATAATTCAACAGATATTGTTGAATCTCCAATCCAATCTTACTTCATTGGGACCCAGCACGTGCTGGCTGGGTTTCCGGAACGACACGATGTGGCTGCTCACCATGAACGCCGTTACTCGCTCCGATACTCTGATCTCCTCCATTTTTAACTCTTGTAACCGGAGGACATACTCCGGCACGTGCACCAGGTCCCACACCACACCGATCCCACCCTCCTTCAATACCCTCACCACCTCCCCCACCACTCTCATCCTCTCCGCCGATGCCGCCGCTGATTTCTGCCCGAACTCCTTCCCGACCTTGTGCACAAATCCCGCCGACACCACCACGTCGAAGTAATTGTCAGGGAAAGGAAGCCTACGCGCGTCGCCTTCACGGCAGGTTACGTACTCCTGCACGCCTTCCATCCCTGCCGTCCTTAGGGTTGATAACGTCGTGTTCTTACGGTCTAATCCGACGACTCGGCCGGAGCTGCCTTCTTTTTTGAGCTGCATGGCGACGGCGTTGAGGAGGATGCCGCGGCCGCAGCCGACGTCTAGTACGGTCTTCACGGTTGACCAGTCGTGGACGGCGCTGACCATGCGCTGAGCCATGTCCCACCGGAGAGCGACGGAGGAGTAGAACATATTACCGGCAGCGTAAAAGAGGCAAAGGGCGGAGAGAGCCGTGACGGAGCCGGTGAATCCTGCGGCGAATCTGGCGACACTGCCTGAGAATACTGACGGGAAGATTGATTCGAAGGAATAGCAGATCCAATTGAAGTATAGAAGGAATATGAGTGATGAAGAGGAGAAGACAATCGCGTGGATTAACAGAAAAATCGGTGTGTGCCAATCATCCATTCCGTAGATAGCATAGATCTGTGTCCAATCTCTTCCTGTTTTCCCCATTTTTGCAAGTTGATTTTACCAGATTCAAAACTCAAAAGCAGTTGACGTACAGTTACAAGCTCAGAATCTGCCGTTTCAAAGCCAAAAAGCAAACAAAATTAGAAAAAAGTTTCAAAATTAAGGTTGTAGTATAACAAAATGCTCTATCAGTAAACAGAATGTGAATATATGCCACAAATCCAGTCGTAAAGTCGTTTCACCAATGAAAGCTCAGTCAGTGTACAACTTCTATATCCTTTCAGCAAATAAAATTGAAAAAAAAAGGTACACACGTTCTTTTTGCAAATCACGAGCATATGTTTGGACTTGGATTGCCGCGAAATTCCACCAATCCGGAATCAATTCCAGTTGTTTCGCGTTTAACCGAGAACCGAAAATAAAGAATTTAAACACCAAAAACGACGAATAAATCTAAAACATGATTTTCGCAAAAACGAAATCTGTAAAACAGTAAAAGAGACGAAACAACACTTACGATTGAAGAATATAAAAAACACGAAGTTCGTTATCAGATCCACAGAGAACGATCCACAGACAGCGAACAATTTGTTGAAAATCAGCAATCAGAGAGAGAGAATCGTGAGAAATGGCGGAGAGAAGTTCCGGCCAAATCCATATATCTCCGGTGATGCAGATCTAGAACCAATTGCGACTGGTTTCCGTTTCGTTTTCCGTCCGTCCGTCCGTTCCTCTGCAGCTTTTGGAAGTTAGAGAGAGAAAGAGAGAGTGATTGAAGGAGGAGGAGGTGGTGGTGGTTGTGGTGGTGGGGATGGGGATGGTGGTGTTTAAATCGATAACAGAGTGGGGCAATGTTGCCCGTCTTTATACTGACGAGGATTAGTGAAGTGAAGGTACGGTTACAAAAATGATAACCAATTAAACTCGTACGGAACTTAATTTTAACCGTTTAATGTTTCTAATGTCTGAATTACGTTTTTGCCCTTGTGGTTTGTTATTAATTCCCATCTTCCTCACTATATCTGTATTTTAGAAAACTATAAGGGTATTCACGTAATGCAACGAGATACATCTTGATTTTAATGTTTTGTTTCATATTTTGGGTCTATCGATGTTATAATGTGACTTTAATAGGAAAAATGTTTTTATTTTTTAATGAAATATAAATTTGAAGATATTGTAAAATTTTGATAAAAATAATTGATATTATTACCAAATTAACTATTTAAAAGTTATCGTTTTTTGGAATTACTTTATTTTTGGTTTAAAAAATAACTTTTTAAAGATAATAATTAAATATTCTGTTAGAATTCAATAAATATCATAATTATATTTTAGCTTTTTTATATTTAAAATGACGTTTATCATGTATTTGGTTATATTTATCTGCAGTTAGTTACACGATTTCAAACATTGAGCTTTAATATGATGTACTCATGCACATTTTACTTGTAAATCTTAAATTTTAAGTAATATGCATCAATAAACAGTACTTTATGCATAAAAAATTATTTTTAAGAGTTTTTATCAAATGTTTTATAATATAACTAGAAGGGTACTCCCGTAATGCAACGAGATACATTTCAATTTTAATGTTTTATTTTGTTCTATGTCTCTATCAATGTTATAATATGGTTTTAAGAAAGCAATAATATTTTTTTTTGATAAAATATAAATTTAAAGATATCATAAAAACTTTGAAAAAAATCGATGTTAATATCAAATTAACTATTTAAAGGTTATCTTTTTTGTGTAATTCTTTTAATTCAATGTATTTTTTTATTATAACTTAATTTAAGTTTGATAAAAAAAAAGTAATTTATTTTTTATTTAATAATATAA